AATATTTACTCCCTATTTGTATCATGCTCAGATTCCAACTGTAAAACTCAGGTCCAGCCTCTTTTACAATAAAATAGCACTGTAATCCAATTGAAAGACACAGATACTAATATACAAAGCTTTACTGCATATACAAGAAAAGCAAAGGACAAGAAAAAAACAAAAACAAGTGCTACAATTCCCAGGAGACCTCTGTTTATTCCTTTGGTCTTGGTATTAAGATTTCCCATAATGCTCTTTAATCCAATAAATCTACTATACATTGTGTTAAACACAGATTAATACATATTGTTCCAAACTCCTATTTGTAAGTGCAGTCAAACGTGACAAAGTTTATAGGCTGATTTATTGAGCAAGTTTCTTTGCTAGTGACTGCAATGGAGAATTTGGCCCATTGTGTTCAGTGGAAATATTTTAAATTATTCAAATAAAACATCTTGGATAGAAACAATTTGCACTTTGAAAGTCATTGCACTTTGATTAATAATAAGTAACGTATCCAGTTAAATAACTTTTTCATTAATTATTTAAAAACAGAACTATTCAATGTAACTGAGAAACAATATAGCACTGCATTTGTCAATACATAATTCCATTCACTGCTTCCTTCTACATTAAGGCCAAGATTTTCAAATGTGACTTGCTTTTCTAGATTACTCAATTATAGCATTCCAATGAGAGAGCCATTTCAGAAATGGCTGATTATCTGCTCTTTTGTGGATGGGGAGAAGGGGGAATTCAGACTTTCCTATGACATCAGACTGGGTGTCCAAAAATTGAGGCACCCAAAATTATTTTTAAAAAATATAAATAAATGAACTAAATGTTTAATTTAATTAAAATATCTAGCTCATTAACACTTTTATTTGTTGGTGGAGTGTGTTTGCTCAATTGCATAAATCAGAAAAGATTTGTCTTTCAATGAAATTGTATAATTTGGATAAACACAATACAAGCAAACTCTAATTTTAGAAAGGTATTGAAGGTATCAAGACCAAAGGTTTTCATACAAGTAGGGGGTTAATTCAATAAAAATCTTTAACAACAGAAATTTGGCTATTCTAGGACCTGAAAAGACATGATTTTTCCATATTTAGCCTCTACCTGTGAAGCAGTTGTACTGAAGGTATTTCCACTGATTTTCCATCACACCTCCACCCCCTGAAGTAGTACATGCTAAACACAGAATCAGTTTCATTGTGCAGTCACAAAATTTCGGTTAGGTATTTAGAGCTGAAAAAAATCAGTACATATTTCCTAATTTGTCAGTGAGACAGTTCTGAGATCAACAACTCAGAACACAGAAGTAAAAATGCTCATTCCCATGATTAGTAAACATATTCTGTTCCCACCATGTAAGTGGATATATGAAACCTTCCTATGGCTGGACCATGAATCTAATACCGAAGAAATAAACCTGTGCATATTCCAACGAAGACACAGAAGTCTGTGAAGCCCTCATAGCAGGACAGTGGCCTATGACAGTGGCATAAAGCTCCAAGTAAACACAAAAAACAAAAACATGCCTTCCAGGGATGTCACAACTGAAATCTGTTCAGTGGAATTCAAATATTATATGAACACAATTTACATTTAGGATTATGCAAAGGGTTTGTTCTTTCCCTTTAATGTGACATGCGGCACAGGAACAGATGGGAAAAAAAAGCTATCATGCACTTATATATAGGTAAAGAGACTAAGAGGTAATCACGTTAGTCTGAAACTGTAAAAAACAACCAGCAGTCCTGCAGCACCTTAGAAACTAACAAATGTATTAGGTCATGAGCTTTTGTGGATAAAACCCAATTCACATAAGTTGGAGTGGAAATTACAGAATTCAGGATATATAATAAAGCAAAAAGTTACCAGTCAATTGTAGGACCACTGTTAATGAGGCTAATAAAGTCAGGGTGGATGTGTCTTATTCACAGTATTTGGTGTGGAGATGCAAATATCAAAGGCAGGAAAATTGCTTTTGTAGTGCATTATCCAGTTAAGATCTTTATTCAAGCCTAAGTTAATAGTATTGAACTTGTAAATTAACTACAGTTCAGCTGTCTCCCTATGTAATCGGGTGATAAAACTCTTTTGTTGAAGGCTAGCTGCTTTTAAATCCATTATTTTTAATCCAGGGAGGTTAAAATGTTCCCCTCTAGGTTTGTATATATGTTACCATTCCTGACATCTGATTTGTATTCATTTATCCTATGGCACAGAGACTGTCCCTGGTTTGACCCATGTATATGGCAGTGAGGCACTGCTGGCAATTGCTGGCATATATCACATTATACAGGTATGAGAGCCCCTGATATTGTGGCTTATGAGCTTAGGTCCTGTGATGGTGTCACTTGTACAGATGTGTGGACAGAGTCGGGTTTAGCTCATAATCTAATAAATGTGTTAGTCTCTAAGATGCCACAGGACTGCTCACTGTTTCTATAAAAGTAAAAATTTTTGATTTTCTAAGTTACAGGGCTATGATTGCACCATAGCAGAAGGCAACATTTAAGTTAATTCTATATCCAGTAAACTGTGTAAATATGTAAGAATGGTAGAATACAGTAATAGTAAAATAAAATAGTTTTAACATTTTAGGCACTTGTGCACTTTACAGGGCAAGTTTTATCAAGCACAGAATGATTTTTATCAAGCACAGACAAACTGATGAACATGACTTGTTGTGGGGAGGAAAAGTCCACATCATTTTGTAAAGGGAAATCATGCCACATCAATCCATTAGAATTCCTTCAAGATGTCATCAAATATGGACAAGGTGATAAAGTTGTTACACTCTATTCACTGTAAGAAAGCTTTTGGCAAGTTTTCTCATCAAAGGCTCTTAAGAAAAGCAAGGACTGAAAGCATAAGACTGAAAGTTCTCTCATGGATCAGTAATTAGTTAATAGAAAACAAAAGGTAAGCATAAACAGCCAGTTTTCACAAAGCCCCAAGGATCAGTACGAGGAACAGTGCTGTTCAACATATTAAAAAATAATCTGTAAAAAGGACTAACCAGAGAGGTGGCAATGACTGAAGATGATACAAAATTGCTCAAGATAGTTAAGTCCAAAGCAGGCTGTGAAGAGTTACAAAGGGATCTCACAAAACTGGGTGACTGGGCAACAAAATTCAGTGTTGATAAATGAAAAGCAATGTCCTTTGGAAAGCATAATCCCAACAATGCAGACAAAATTATGGAGTCTAAATTTGCTGTTACCACTCAGAAAAAGAGATTTTGGAGACACTGTTGATATTTCTTTTAAAACATGTGATTAGTGTGAAGCAACAATCAAAACAGCAAACTAAATATTAGGAACCATTAGGAAAGAGACAGAAAATTCCATAATGCCAGAAGAGGTAGAACTGGAAAAGGTACAGGAAAAAGCAACAAAAATGATTAGGTGTATGGAATAACTTCCATATGAGGAGAGATTAAAGAGAGACTAGGGCTGTTCATCTTGGAAAAGAGACGACTGAGGGGGGTATATGAAAGAGGTCTATAAAGTCATGAATGGTGTTGAGAAAATGAACAGGAAGAGTCATTCATACCTTCACATAATACATGAACCAGGGGTATCCAATGAAGTTAACAGGCAACAGATTTAAAACAAACATAAGGAAGTACTCTGTCACACCATGCACAGTCTACTTGTGAAACCTAATGCCAGGGGATGTTGTCAGGGCAAAAAATGTAACTGGGTTCAAAAAGGATTAGATACATTCATAGAATACACGTCAATCAATGGCTATTGCCAAGATGCTCAGGGGCACAAACCCCATTCTCTGGATGCCCCAAAACCTATGATTGCTACAGTCTGGATCCAGACGACAGAGGATGGATCACTCAAATTCCCCTTTTCTATTCATTCTTTCTGAAGCATCTGGATACTACTGAGCAAGATGGACCATTGATCTGACCCAAAATGGCAATTTCTTATGTTAAGTGGGTTACTTCCTCAAATGAAAAAAAGACAAAACAGCAACAGCCTACCTCTAAGCACAAAAACAAATAAAAACCCTTCAAGTCTTACCCAAAATGATTCTGCACAAGTTCTCAGACTAACAATGAAGGCAGGGGTGAGCAAAAGGGCCTCCATGGGCCAGATCTGGCCTGCCAACAGAGTTGATCCGGCCCATGGAGGCCCTGCCGCTCCCCCACCCAAACGGGAATGGGGAGAAGCACATGAAGCTTTCTCCGCCCTGCCAAGAGCACGTAGTTCCTGGCAGGGCGGGAAAAGACTTTGCGCGCTCCCCCAGCCCCAAGCCTTGATTGGCCTGGGGGCAGGAGGAGGCGCACGCAAAATTTCCTCTGCCCTGCCCCCATCCTGAAGGAGCATGTGGCGCTTAGAAGCGCCACGTACTCCTGGCAAGGCAGAAGGAGGCTTCGCACACTCCCCCACCTCAGGCCAATCAGGGCCTGAGGGTGGGGGGACATGCAAAGTTTACTCTGCCTTGTCCCCACCCTGCAAGGAGTGTACAGTGCTTAGAAGTGCCATGCACTCCTGGCAGGGTGGAAGGAGACTTTGCATGCTCCCCACCCCCAGGCCTTGATTAGTCTCCTCCCAAAGTCAGGGGGCCTGGGCACCTAGGGGAAACCTCTGGGGGGGGACAAAGGTGCTCCCCCATCCCCAGACCAATTATGGTCATTGGGTGGGGAAGCAGGGAAGTATCCTTATGAGGCCCCACCCCTTGCGGTGCAGCCCAGGACCACTTCAAAAATTTCTGAAGTGGCCCCCCGCCAAAAATTATTGCCCGCTCCTAAGTTAAAGGATAGGACATTCCAGAATTGCAGACTCTTACCAGAAGACTTTCCCTCCAATTCTTTCTAGAATGAATCATGGGATAAGTCTGCAAAGTAACTTTAAGGTGCTAGATCGTGACGTAGCACAACACTTTCTGAGAATCATCTTATAAACTGGCCTTTTGTGCACAATTTCTTTATTAAAAAAAATGTTTGTTTCTTAAACTAAGAAATGTCCTACGAGATCCATACTACTTACTGTTTTTGGAGAAAATGAATTTTTTTCTGAATGAACAATCAGTTCTCCATTTCTTCGCTGTTGATAAACTTCTAGAGCATCAACAAACTTCACTCCTTTTGCAAAACAATGACGTTTTCTTATCTGTTGGGAAAACATGCAACATTCAAATGGATAGCAACAAAGATGCGGCATTACATCAGAGACTTAAACTAAACTAGTGGACAAACATTATTATAGTAATTTTAATTTTTTTTCTTCATTCTATACTTGTTTCAGAAACTCAGTGCATTGTTAATATCCACCAGTTTTTCCACATCTAACATAAGCTAACCAAAAATTAATAATTTAAGGCAAGTTAATTTAACATTTGTACATCTCAGTTATCAAGACAAATATATATCTTAACTTCTTTTAAAAAACATTTGGTTTTGCAAAATAAAAGCAATAAATGATCATGAATTATTTATATAACCGTGAAGTGATATTTGATTGAGCCTTCTTTAAGCAAAGTAAATTAACAATATGCCACCACCACTACCTTCCCTACTATAGAAACCTATGTCACAGGTTTGACATCTAGTTTCAAAGATGCAAATGGATGTTTATTTTGATGTACTCAATCACAGAACAAAGAGAAGTCCTGTGGCACCTTATAGACTAACACGGCTACCTGTCTGATACTTGTCATTAATCATAGAAGCTGAACTCATTTCTTGCAGAATTAGGCCACAACCTTACAAACATATGTAGCTCCTAAGTCCTACTGATGTCAATGGCTCTCTGGGTATAAGTATCTGTACTAGAGGATTCCAATATAGGACGGAGGCCAAGAGAAGCAAGTAGTGTTACAAATGAAAATTACTGAAAATTACTCCATGAATTATTATTAGTTTCAATGATATACTACATTAGACTAAAAGATTTCTGTGGAAAAGGAAGAAATTACTGCAGAAGAAAATGTTGGGACATGAAGTCAGCTTCAAACATCTTAATTTGCCAAATATTTTGGAAACCAATAGACAAAAATAGTTAAATTCATAAATATAGAAGCTGGTTCTATTTCTGAAAGTTCCAGTGGAAAAATGAATAGCATATTAAATAAAAAAGAATTAGAATCCTTCAACAACAACAGTTTTTCTTTATTAATGAACTAGCACATTTACCCAGCTTTGCTCACATTCTTAAGGAAGAGCCCAGGATAGGGGACTAGGGATGTGGGGGATGCAGGAATCAGGGTCAGGTAGTGAGGAGAGGCTCTGGGCAGGGGACAGTGTGTATAAGTAAGGTGATAGTTGGGGAGGCCAATACCTCCCCCCCTCACCCTCAAGATTTGAACCAGGGCTGGTTGCTTTTTCTCTTCCTGTCCCTGTCAGGGAGTGAAAATAAAGTGTATAGCTCATGTGCCCCTTGTACTCCCCAGTCAGAGTGAGGAATGCTGCAAACTGTGCATTTTTCCCTGGCTCTCTGGCAAAAGGGAACAGCCAGTAATGTTCCTGTATGAACTGGGGGGAGCTTCAGGCCCCCCACCACTAGGCCTTCCTAAAGGGCACCTGCCTTATGATTCTGTCTCTTTTCTGTATGGCTTTATAAGCAACCCTATTCCAGGCACATCCCATTTTCCTGGCACAACCAAACCATTATGTTGCTTTAAGTTGTGATCAGAGGAAGCTGTGTACCAAATTTGGTCATCCTAGCTCTTATTGTTTAGGAGGAGTTTTTTTAACAATGACAGATATCTGTGATTAGTTCTCTTCTACAGCATGTCTTCTTGCATTATTTTCCATTGTTATATGTATTGATAAAACCTATAGGGTTGCCAAGCAATTAAAAAAAAATTGTGCTTAATCACAATTAAAAATAGTAAAATATCATGTATAAACTATTTTTGGATGTTTTTCACACTTTCAAATATATTGATTTCACTTACAACACAAAATACAAAATGCACAGTGCTCCCTTCATATTATAAATCTTTGGACTGTAAAAATAAAAAATTGTATTTTTCAATTCACTTAATAGGAGTACTGTACAGGCTGCACCTCTCCAGTCCAGCACTGTTGAGACCTGAACAGAGAATTTGTCAAACCATGGAAGGTCAATATTGTCGAGCAGCATTACCAACACCTTCCACTGCATACTGGGCTCTTTGAAGACATTTAGGGGGTATATTAGAGCTAAGTGAGAGCCAGGACTGGTGGCTGTACACAAACTTTATGGGACTATGGAGAAACATGGTCATACCCTTGATAACTGGACATTTGACTAACTAAAATCATGCCAAACTAGGGTTGCCAGGTGTCCAGTTTTTGCCCGGACAGTCCAGTAATTGCACCTCTGTCCAGTTAAAAAAAACAGAAAATACCGGACATGTAAAATGTCCGGTATTTTCTGTTTTTCTCAGATGGAAGGCAGGCGGATACATTTTTCCCCTGACGCATCTGGCAGAGGGAGCGGTGGAATTTAAAGGCGTATCAACTTTTTCTTTTCTCAACAAGTTTGGTCTCCTGTTTGTTTTTTGGGTTTTTTTTGCTCAACCAATTTTTTTCTCCGCCATGTTCGGGATTTTTTGTGAAAATATCTGGCAATCCTATGTCGGACCAAAAATGTTGAAAAAAAATGGAGAAACATGGTCATACCCTTGATAACTGGACATTTGACTAACTAAAATCATGCCAAACTAGGGTTGCCAGGTGTCCAGTTTTTGCCCGGACAGTCCAGTAATTGCACCTCTGTCCAGTTAAAAAAAACAGAAAATACCGGACATGTAAAATGTCCGGTATTTTCTGTTTTTCTCAGATGGAAGGCAGGCGGATACATTTTTCCCCTGACGCATCTGGCAGAGGGAGCGGTGGAATTTAAAGGCGTATCAACTTTTTCTTTTCTCAACAAGTTTGGTCTCCTGTTTGTTTTTTGGGTTTTTTTTGCTCAACCAATTTTTTTCTCCGCCATGTTCGGGATTTTTTGTGAAAATATCTGGCAATCCTATGTCGGACCAAAAATGTTGAAAAAAAAGAGAGTGTACCAGACCAGTGAGGTTCAACCTGTAGTTCAATCCCTTTATTATGAAAGCTGAACTTATAAATGTAGAATTATGTAGAAAAATAACTGGACTCAAAAATAAAAGTGTAAAACAGAGTCTACAGTCCACTCAATCCTACTTATTGTTCAGCCCATCATCCAAACAAGTTTATTTACATTTGCAGGAAATAAAGTTGCCCACTTCTTGTTTACAACATCCCCTGAAAGTGAGAACAGGCAATCACATAGCACTTTTGCAGCTGGAGTTGCAAAATATTTATGTGCCAGATGTGCTAAAGAGTAATATGTTCCTTCATGCTTCAGCCACCATTCCAGAAGACACATGTCCATGCTGATAATGGGTTCTGCTCGATAATGATCCAAAACAGTGCAGATCGATGAATGTTCATTTTCAGCATCTGAGGCAGATGCCACCATCAGAATGCTGATTTTTTTTTTGATGGTTCAGATTCCATAGCATCTGTATTGAAGCATTGCTCTTTTAAAACTTAGGAAAGTATGTTCCATATCTCATTTTTCCTCAGATTTTGGAAGGCATGTCTGATCCTTAAATCTAGGATCTAGTGCTGAAGATATCTTTAGGAATGTCACACTGGTATCTTCTGTTCTGTTTTGTCAAATCAGTAGTGAAAGTGTTCTTAAAACAAACATGTGGTGGGTCATCATCCAGCACTGCTACAACAAGAAATATATTGGAGAATGCAAGTAGAACACACAGCAGAAGACATTGAATTCCCTGGGGGAGAATTGTATCACAAAATGAATTAATGCATTATATTTTTAACAAGTGTCATCAGCATGAGAGCATGTCTTCTGCAATGGTGAAGGGCATATGAATGTTGACTATCTCTGGCATGTTAATACTTTGCAGTGCTAGTTACAAAAGTGCCATGCAAAAGTCTGTTCCCACTTTCAGGTGATATTGTAAATAAGAAGTGTGCAACATTGTCTCCCATATATGTAAACAAACTTGCTTCTCTTAGCAATTGGCAGAACAACAAATAGGACTGAGTGAACTTTTAAGCTCTAAAGATATATATTGTTTTGTTTTTTAATTCAGTTATGTAATAAAAAAATCTACTTTGGTAAATTGTGCTTTTGTGATAAAGAGATTGCACTACAGTACTTGTATGAGGTGAAATGAAAACAACTATTTATTTTATAGTGCAAATATTTGTAATAAAAATAATAAAGTGAACACTGTTCATTTTATATTCTTTGTTGTCATTGAAATCAATGTATTTGAAAATGTAGGAAACAGCAAAAAAATGTAATACATTTCAATTGGTATTCAATTGTCTAATAGTGCAATTAAAACCACAATTAATGTTCTAAATTAATGGCATGAGTTAACTGTGATTAATCAATCAGAATAATTATTGTACAGACATACAATAGAAATATACATGAAATGAATGGCAAGGAAACAAATTCATCCTATAGGTAATTACTCTTCAAACAAGTTAAAAGTAGTTTTCTGATGCAATAATATTAAAACACAATACAATGACAACTAAAGTGCACCTCAGTAATACAAAAAAGCTAAGGCATTTGTGATACCAATACTGACCATATAACAGAAACTTTAGAGAAATTTCATCCTATGTAAAAAGCTAGTGATAAGAATTTGGTCGGATATCAAGAGGCTTGATAATGTATATTAGATTATTAGCACATATGTGGAAGAGCATTTAAATGCCTAAGAATTCTTTTCTTTGACTTAATGTTTAACAGCAATTATTGGTGAGCAGGCTTCAGAGTTTACAGTATTTAAATTTTCTATGTACTAGCATGCACCAAGTAATTTATCTCTAACAAGCTATTGTGGAAATTTAAAAACAACAATGGACTCCTTTGTAGCAATAGTAAAAACAAATAAAAAAGTAATAAGCTAATTTATGGCTGTGACATTACCAGCTAATCTCGACTTCTAGTACTGAAATAGTGATTGATATTAGACAATCTTGTTTAATTATGCCTGGATTATTTTAATGCCAATACATTTTGCTCACCTGCTGCTCAGTTTCTAATAAACGTATCCTTTTCCTGTCTACTTGAAAGTCGTCATTTTCATCTTTATGTAAAGATGCCCATTTTTTTGCAGATAATTTTGAAGACAGTGTGACTTTTCCACTATGTTCTGTAACAGGAGTATTCATTACCACAAGAGCATTAAATAAATGTAAATAACATTTCCAGTCATGAAACTTATTCAGAAAAAATAGTTGAGACTCATGTTGGACAGTAATATTGGTAAACCTTTCTGGACCCTGTCTTCCATCACTACAATGCAGGCAAATTTATACAGGAACAATCATTAGCATAGTAGCAAAATGCTAAATTGCATGAAAAAAATTGTTTCCTGAGGGAGGCTTCCTAACAGAAGAAACATAACAAGCATGATACTAGCTATTAAGTTTCCCTTCTAAGATTGATTTCCTCTATATTGATAAGGAAAAGATACATTTTTAATTGCACCGTTGGTAAATGATACATGGTTTGAAAATGTCAATCATTAACAGGTGATAAAATTAACTTTTTTTACTTTGAAACAGCAATGAAGGGCACAGCAAGTGGTGTTTGGCAGAGATCAGTTTTGGGACCGAATCTGTTCAATATCTTCATCAACAATTTAGATAATGGCAGGCCTGGAGCACCCCCCAACGTAAGGCAGTGGGCTGCTCTGGCCAAACTGGCCCGCCATGGGTGGGAGGCACATAGAGTTCTCCAGCACCTCTGACTAAAGTCATAATGCTGAACTGTGACAGCACAATCAGTGAAATAGCCAGACTGTCATCAGTAACAGAGGGTTTGTAGATTCACTATAGAATTAGGCAAAAAGAAAGATAAGAATGCAGTAGAAAAAAAACCTTCAATAAAATCAAGGAAATGTGGAATTACAGAAAAAATTACACTGATTGTTTATGTATTTAATTATTAAATTTAGATGTCTGTTTCCTCCACACAAATTAATATGATTTGGACACTTGGAAAGAACAGGGAACTTTAAAGCCAGGAGCCATTAATGACCTAGAAAAAACATGAGGGGGACAGCATGATGAAAGAAGCATTTTTGGTTCACTGCTGACTTGTGTAGCATTGGCAATCATAAGACAAATGAGAACCCACAATCTGAATACTCAGCAAAAAAGCAGAAAAAAATACTCAAAAGTTACCTTTGTCTGTTGAGACTGTTTCACTTTTTATGGAAGTTGCTGCTTTACAATCAGTGAAAGAACAAGAGGCACCTTGGTTCACATCTGCAGAAGTGTCATTAGACACTGCCTGGGAATGGCATCTACAGTGACATGGCAAAGATGGCTCTGGTTTTTTGCATTCCTTTTCACATGAGAACTCATCCAGTGACTTCTCTAAAAGCAGGACAGGAGAAGGTCATTCTTCTCTTATAAAACTATAACCACTATTGTAGAATTAGGCTCTCCAATACAATAGGAACAAGTAGGTAACAGTCAATTTTGTTGGGGCTACGGCTTCTAGTCCAGGGGTGGGCAATAATTTTTGATGGAGGGGGCACTCCAAGAATTTGGCAAGTGGCTGAGGGCTGCACTCTCTCATTATGTTAATGGAAGAGATGCAAGGGTTGGGGATGGAGGTTGGGTGCAGATGTGAGCTTGGGAATGAAGGAGAGGATAATGACCTGGGGCAACAGACTGGGATAAGGAGGCAGTGCAGGGTCTGGGAGCAGAGTGTGACCTGTGATAGAGGTGCAGGGGTTTGGGTTGTGACCTGGGACAAGGGATTAGGGTGCAGGGTCTGGGAGAGGTATGGGTGCAGGAGAGGATTCTGGCCTGGGGGAGGGGTGCAAGAGGAGGGAATGCAGGGCCTGGGAGGGGTTGTGACCTGAGACAGAAGTGCAGGAAAGGGTGCAGGGATTTGAGTTGTGCCAGGGACAGCAGATAGAGGTACAAGGTCTGAGAGGGGGTTGTGACCCCAGGAGGAGTTTAGGAGGGAATGCAGTACTGGGAAGGTGTATGGGGCCTGGAGAAGGGGTGCAGAAGGTTTGGGTTACATGAGGTAGGGGGGACAAAAGGGAGAAGAGGGTTGAGGGAGGGAGAGGCTGAGGTGCCAGAGGCAGGCTGTGGCTGGGAAACCTTACCTGGCTCCCAGCCAGCAGCCCAGCAAGTTCCTTAGACAGGGTCCCTGCCTTCCAGGCCCTATACTGATCAGGGGAGCTGCAGAGGCCATATTTACTGCCCTGTATTGAATGCTGTAAGCCCGAGGGATGAGGGGCACTTCACATGCAGTCTGTCCTGCAAACAGACAGTTGCTTTTGGCTGAAATTGGCCAATAGGAGCTACTGGAGGCAGGAGCAGCTTGAGAAGCCTGTCTCCCCACCCTCCAGCCTCTCAACATTCAGAAACACAAATGGCCCTGCAGACAGCTTTCCTGAGTGATGAGTGGGGGTGGGGCAGGCAGGGAGCTGTCTGAGGCTCTCTCAGGCCACATCCAGCATCTTGGTGGGCTGGACCAGCCCACAGATTATATTTTGCCCAGCCCTGTTCTAGTCACTCTCTCCATAGCAGTTACACACCTTTACAAACTAGCTACGTGGAAGTCACTTACAGAAACCCTACCCATTCAGCTCCAAAAAAAGTACAATAGTCCCTCTGAGTTAGTGTTAAAATTATATAATACACAGGTTAAGGAAGAAATGTACAAAGGCTTGTTTAAAAGTAATTCAATATACTTATTATATAATCAGCAATAACCGAGAACAGATTAATAATTTAATAGTACAATTTAGATATTAGCATCCAAGTATTGGGGGTACATCACTCATGAAAAGCTATACAGAGAGTTGGTTGTAAAACACACATATAGGAAAGTGTGGAAATTGTCCCTCAGTAATGGAGCATTTAGAATACGTTATCCTTTAGCAGATATAATCCAGAGAAATATTTCCATTACTTTTCAATTTCACTTCTCATCAGTACACCAGCTCATTTCTCTTGGTATAGCCAAGGTCCTATGATGCGTTCTAGCTAGATGTGATAGCATCAAACACCATGAATTGCAGCATCATACGAACGTAAGGTTGACTAAGTCTGCATTCTGGCAACACATGCTCAATGCTTGGGTCCCATGCACCCAGAGCACTGACAATCTGAGCATGAGTTTGGTTCTCATAGCTTCTAGTATCAACCACTGGCATAAGGACTAAGATGGAGATTTAGCTCTATTCCTGAAACTAGTTTTCTGAGGTTATCCACTGACTTAGTTTATGTAAGAATGCAGACAACCCTGGTCAATTTAAACTGGACATATGGGCATTTTGAGTCTAGCCTATCAAGTTACTTTCCTATCATGCTAATAATATGTTTGTTTTAATTTAGATTAATTCAGTAATAGCTGTAATGCAAGAAATCTTCTAAAAGCTGCTCTCAGCATTCCTGTAGGCCCTGTGTTAACTTGACTTATGTCTGGGTTCAGGTGTAATACACTATGCCTTATGTCTGCCCAAGTTTGTGAAGGCCCGCTAATACTAACACAGCAGCACTCAAGTCCTTGGGGGAGGGCTTTGCCATTAACCCCCCAGGGTACAGGTCCATGCCCTTTTCTAGCAGGGACCAAGACATGTTGGTATATAAGAGTCTAGCAAAAGCCCCAAATTAGTGGTCCTGCTGCTTGTGCCTGTCTGTGGGCATATACTGCTTGCCTTCCCCCCACACTGCCAACCACAAGCATGTTGGTGCCATGTACTGACTGGGCTGTGTGGCCGTCCAGATTCCATTAGGTGTAGGAGCAGCATGGGGGAAGTACAGCCCAGCCCTAGGCTGTCTCGTGAGTCGGGTTCTCCTGCAGTTCAGTGGCTCCTGCTGTAGGGTATAACAAGATGGAACAGCCTCTGAATGCACTTTCCAATGAGTGCCATGTCTGTATTACCACCAATTAGAGGGCAGGGTTGCACTTGAATGAAAGAACATACCTACGCTCACAGTCCAGGTCAAGTAATATGGGTTTATATTTGATCTTTTGTCCATGCTGCAACACATCGTCTGCAAGATCAGCAGAAGCTAAGGTAGCAGATTTCCGTGGTTGAGACAGTTTCACCCAGATACCGGTCATAGTTTATTTATGGTTTCCTGGGACTGAAAAAGGGGAACTTAGGTCTGGACCTTTCACCCGCACAGGACGGTACGAAAAATACCCTCAGAATCAACAGATGTATTATTATATAAAAGTCCCAAATGATTGGTTCAGGCTGAGTTGAGTAATCAGGACACCTGTTGCGACAGATAACCACAAAGGCCCCGGCAACAAATTGATGTATATGATAATAAGTTAAGAGCAATGATACACTGACCAATAGGAAAAGAACACTTCAGCATTAGAAACATCCCCTATCGAATATGCATAAAACATGTTAGCGTCAGCGTTACTTAGTATAAAAGTGGGACCCCAGTCCAGGTGCAATAGGGAGGAGAAAATGTCATCTTTGGAAGGGCCAGAAGCATGGCCCCTGGTGATAGGGAAGGTAAAGAAAATGAGAAAGATGATGGGCTAACACCTAAGATTGTTCTAGAAGGAATGATGTAAGTATATGGTATGGAAATATGGATGGACATTCCCTGTCTTATGAAATTGGGGTGTTTGTGACTGTGCCAACTGTATTCATAAACTATAAATATTGTAAATATACAAGAGTTTCTATATTGTGAGTGTTGCAACCATGCACATCAGGGTTCCCAATCATAGTATAATTGAATACTGGGCCTGATCCTGGGACAAAAAACCTGTCAACCCTAAAGGTGGGTCATTAGAATTTAAACATAATCTTAGATCAGGCTACATGAGATGACTTACCGTGAAGAGACTGCTGCCATGACAATACAGAACATAGTAACGCCAAACTTTTACCACTTCCTGTGGGGCTCTCCAACAAACAATGTTGCCTGGAATTTAGCCCTTTAACAATCTGAAAGAAAAAAATAAAAAGTGAACTGCTCAGAAAAATAAATTAGTATTCATGTTCTCTCTTTGGGAAGGGAAGGACTATATTTATATTAAGGATGCTAAATTTAGATTAATCAACTAACCTAAGAGTCAACGTAATTTGCATCGACTATTCAATTAGTTGATAAAGGCGCCTCTGCCTTTGAAATGTAGCAGCAGTCCTGCTGACTCTTGCTACATGTCAAAGGTGGAAGCGCCACAGGGAGCACAGCCAGTGGGAGGACTCAAGCAGTCCCCCGCTGGCCCCATGCTCCCTGCTTTTTAAAAGTAGACGGTATCTTGTACATTTCAAAAGCCCTGCTCTTCCTACATTTCAAAGGCGGAAGTGCTGACAGTTCGCCACTGTGCCTCTGCCCCTTCTCCCCACACAGACAGTGCTGTGGGGAACCAGCTTTTAAGCCAGCTCCCCCAGCACTAGATCCTGCTCCCCACCCTTGCTCCCTCTCTCAGAGAGGCAGCAGGGAGGGAGTAGTAGAGTCACTAGTTTTATGTTTATCACATTCCCATCAGCAAAGTGCAGTAAAGCTTCTGTGTCAGCAACAAGACAGCAATTAAGACAGAAAGAGAAGAACATCTCCAGCTGAAGCCACAGGGATTTTTTTTTAAGATAGGCTGACAATAGTTTCCTAAATGAAATTTGATAAAGTCAAAAACAAATCTTCCAGGACCACAAGTGGTCATTAGCTCTTGGTTTTCTCTCAACCACAGACATTTGTAACATCTCTCACTGCACTGGGACATAGGTTCAGTAGTGACTCAAATGTCACCTCAGACCTACCTCCCCAAATACCATCAACATCTGATGGAGCTTGTCTACACTTGAAACACTACAGCAGCACAGCGCTTCACTGTAGACAGTAACTGCACGTAAATAATCTATCTACGTGATAGGTGATCGTTACATAAATGGATAATTCTTCTGTCAACCTAGGACCATTTACATTGAGATTAGGTCATCTGAATGATGTCACTCAGTGATGTAGTTGGGTTAATGTTAGTGTAGACCAGGCCCATGTAAGAGTCTGTTTATCCTCAGTGACAAAGGAGCAAAGAATGATGGCAGGCCATTAAATGCTTCTGTGTCATAATTAAATTTAATAAAATGTGGAAGATAAAACATCTCCTCCTTCAATAAAATGAAAATTTATTGGGTTGGTACTATATCTTTTGATCAAAAGATGACAGGCATTTTGCTGAAGCCTTTTCCTTTTGCATTCCTATTGCATTTGCAGTATCAAATAACTTTTATCTAATTAAGTAGGCATGCATTATGTGCACATCCTTTCAACGTACATTTAGTATAAACATTTGGGCATATGTATTCACTCTACTACTCCAAAAATGTAACTGAGCTTCCCCCACATACATGGAGACACTGGAGGTTCTTATTTGGTATCTGAATTCCCTTCTATGTATTGAACACTATAGCACTATATATACACTATTAAAGCAATAGATTTCAATGACAAGTTTACTTACTGAATTCATCATAGCAAGCTGTGAGGGGTAAGCCTTGCAAGGAAAGTTAATCTTCACCCCACCAATGGTATATTCTGATGCCACTGAAGACATTGTCAAGGTTCTTTTCCTTTATTTATTTCAAATTTACGTCTGCAATAACAAATGAGAAATGTTGACAAATCAACTCTAGCTCTGCACTTATCAAAAAGCTGCAAACATAAGGCACCAGATAACACTGAGTATAAATGGTTACAGTGATTTAGGGACTAGGTGGGTCAGGATATTGGCAATGGTGGGATATAGCGCTTTACACCTACAGGTCACCAGTTCAAATTTAGCCCATCTTAGTAATGACAGCAAGTTATTACCATTTGATGGCTTTTCAGTAATTTAACACAATAATAATTACTAACATACTGTATGTATTACCTTTTGGAATGTAGCCACTCAAACTGAACTTTGGCCAGGATATTGGATTAGCACCCCAACTCCTGTGAATAGCAGTCTGGGATCTTTAATAATAAGAAACAAACAGTTCCTCAGTTTTACAAACACACTCTATTTAGCTTGAACCCCAAGACAGTGAGCCCTGTACTTACATGGCTGAGAACAATGGTTTCCAGACAAGATTTTCCATCTTTATAACATTGTATAAACATTACAAGACACACTATACCATCTAAGCATTAAATGTTTTAAATAAACAGTTCATACCTGTTATTACTAATAATGAAACTATTAAGAGAGAAAAATAATTTACTTATCCCTATTTACATAGTATTAACTTCTTGAACTCATTCCACTTAGGCAATGAAAAGTAAGAGTTGAAAATGCTGTATAGTCAGTTTCACTTTCATGTTCAAAAGCTGCAATGTTTGGATTTCAAACACTGGAGAGGAAATACAGGGTAGCTTGTTTATAAATAACTAACTGTTTGCCATTTTTTAAGCTTGAAGGAAACAATTCCCTCCCACGGGTCTTTGGTTATACAAAAGCTTCTTTTTAAAAAGTTAAAATTTGGGAACAAATTTTGCAACATACCTTTCATTGATTAATTCTCTAACTGAAGAGTTTCAGGGGGCTTCCACCAAAAAGCTATCATAATGACTAGTATAACACAGCCCCACCATAAACCATCTCACAGGAATGAATGGAATGTGACAATCTACCATTACCCCCACTACCAAAAGAGATGGTCCCTATTGCCAAATTTAGAATACAGCTGTCAAAAAATTGTTATAATTGTATCCATACAGGCTAGCCATCATACATTTTAGTAGTTACACACTAGCTCCCGGGGAGTGTGGCCAGCAGCCAGTGTGCTCCCAACTGCAGTGCAGACCTCCCTTTAGCCATATTTCAATCTGCCAGCAGCCAGCACATGCCAAAGGCCATATTTTAAGCTGGCTCCCAGTGCATACCTGCTCCCACCTGTCACCCAGCTCCCAATGAGCCAGCTGCTGCCTCTAGTACAGGGACAGCCACCAACTCCCTGGGAGCCAGGCTGTAACTATTTGATTAACTAATAAGCTCATTACCCATTTAAATGGCTACACACTCATATCTCCAGTTTAGAAAGTGATTCCTCAAATATACTCAGAAAGGCACAGTCCCTCTTAAGCAAAGAATGATTTGTATTACACCCAAAGTTGCTAAACTTTGTTTTTGCAAGAAAACAAGGTCCCTAGTTGAAACGCTTCAGCTCTAAATAGTCAAATAAACAAGCGAGGGCTGCAGGGAGAGGGATGCAGGACACAGTCCCCAGCTTATTTAGCCTGTTGATCTTGTGGGGGGTTGTTTCATTTTGCAACTTACAAACAGTAAAACAATTTTGTATTGAAACTGATGCGCTAGTAAAACGTTTTGTGGGAGTGAGATGGGAACAAGGCGCCCGCCCTAACTTTTTTTTTTTTTTGGGGGGGGGTGGGTGGAACAGCAGGAGGGTAACGTTGGTTTCCTTTTTTATTTTCTTACTCGCTTCACATATTTTCTCCCACCCTAAAAAGAACAAATTGGGGAGGGGGAGCGTGTGTGTGTCGGGGGGGGGGGGGGTAGCCGAGCAACGCTC